AAAGAGTTTATAGATAGATTATTAATTAACCTGTAAACACTTTAAAAATATTAATAAGTGTTTATTATGCAATAATTAAGGACGAGAAAGAGACAAAATTTTCCAGTTTCATTTATTAATGATTTATGAAGTGTAAACTTTACAAATGAATTAATAACCTATCTATAAACTCTTTATAAGCCGTCTATAAGGGGAGCTTGATTGTAAAGTTGTACCAAAGCTCTTGCACAGTAAATTCTCCTCACCAGTTTTTCATACATTTTATTGTACATAGATTAAATATTTTCAAACACACAACATGTGAGAAAATCCAGCCATCATTTGTCAGATGAAAGACTTTTTGTAGGATTGTTTAGAAGAGAAGAATTCTGTCAGCTCGATTCATTCTGGACTTTACTATTTGACTCATTAGTGCAACTAGTGTTTGAACATGGAACTGCATCCACCATCATCACTCCCAGTTGAAGGACAGATGAGTGACAGGACAGGGGCATTTCAGGGGGCCAATTAGATTTCAGCTGGGGCCAATGCCCCTTTGGCCCCGACCCTAGAACCACCCCTGCAGTGCAGTGCTTCTTCAGACTAGTTCAAAATGGAGGTTTTGCAAAAATTTAAACAGTTTGMTTGATGCATTTTTTTTCCCTTTCACTTCACTTCAGAGCTGATGGAACATTAACTTGTCTGTGTTGCGTGTAACTGTCCACCACATCAGTAGTTTCACTGAACCATTTACCAAATATGGGCAGACATTAAAGTTGCTAAGTGGCTTCAAAGTGTTGGGGGGGCATTCCACATGATGTAGATTCATGCGATACACGCATGTGAAAACTCCACTTCCTCCTACCAGACTTTTTTTGTTGCTACTTTCTGTTCCTTTTTAAAACAGGAAGATGATAAACATAAACATCTGACTTTTAACCTTTGTGTTTAAAGTTTCCATCTAATTCTTGTTAACTTAGTCTAATCTCTTTTGTGGAAACTTCTTACCTTTTTCCATTTCAGCTCAGTTATAAACTTTTTCTCTTTTAACCATGAATGAAATGTTTGTTTATAAAATCCAGTCTGTGTGTAATGGAAATGTGGTTTTATCTTAGACCAGAGGAAAAGTTTCATTCACTGATTACCAAACCATATTTCGCAGATTTGTGACTTCTACTTRTTTTCCATTAAACTTAATAATAAATCATGTTTTTAAATCACTTCAGTATGTAAAGTCATTGAATTGAATGAACAGTGTTTTACATCTCCTACTTAAAGTTTTAGTGCGGAGAACTTGAATATTATATAACAACTACAATGTTCAGCTAAAACATACATGGTAAAAAATAAACTTCCTTATTTGGATGAATTTAATGTTTAACATGAGCAGAGATTGATCCTTTTATGGATTAGTTGTCTGTGAAGTCCACCTCTAAAACAAACAGATAAGAAGAAACAAGTGAAAGCAAACCACCTCCCTGTTAGTTAAAAACCATGTTCCTGTTCGTCACGAGATCTAACATAAAGAGGAAGCAGGACTGGAATAGAACTTCATATTAAGTCGCCCCGGTCCTCATTTGTGTTAGAGTCATCATGAAGATAGCACTGACACTCCTGGTTGCTCTCTCCCTCCTTCAGATCTGCTCTTCAGCCCCACTGAGCCGACCGACCAACTGGCTCAGAGAATGCAGAGCATCCACCAACCTCTCAATCACTGCACTGGAAGTGCTGCCAGGTGGAGGCTGGGACAATCTCCGGAACGTGGACGTGGGTCGAGTCATGAACCTCAGCTACTCGCAATGCCAAACTACAGAGGATGGCCTCTACCTCATTCCAGATGAGGTGTTTGTCATCCCTCAGAAGGAGACAGGAGTGGAGACCAACTCAGAGATCATTGACTCGTGGCTGGAGCAGAAAAGCACCACATCGAACTCCATAAACGCTGATATTTCCTTCTTCTCAGTGCTGAACGGCAAATTTTCTATTGAGAACACGAGGATGAAAACRCATCAGATCAAAGACTCTTCAAAAACAGCAAGAGTCCAGGTGAGTTATTATTACCATGTCTTAAATGTATAAAAAAATCTGCTTTGTGACAGAGAGAAACAGAAATAATTTTAAAGAAAAAATTATCAAAATGCATGTACACAACTTTAACCTTGCACATAATTTAGGTGACAAAAGGTGAACTTTACCACTAATTWAAAAAAAGCCTATTTTTTTAAGTTTGAGAAATGTGCCTAAATATATCAGGACTTATTTAAACTGTTGTATTTTACATACAGTATACGAGAGATTGTTTTCCAAAACATTAAATAATTATAATTCACTTTCTATAGGTCCGTAACTTCCTCTACACAGTTAAGGCATACCCAGACTTCACCCTGGATTCACGCTTTGCTCAGCAAGCCAAAGACATAGCTGACGCTATCGAAAACAACCAAACGAGGAATGCTGAGTATCTGTCAGAGAAGATGGTGCTGGATTATGGAACTCATGTCATCACCAGTGTGGATGCCGGGGCTTCCTTGGTGCAGGAAGACTACCTCCGTTCTTCATATGTGTCAGACAGTGAGTCAGACACTTCAACCGTTAAGGCACAGGCTGGGTTAAACTTTTTTGACAAACTCAAATTTGACATAAGCAGCCAGAATACCCAGCAGAGCTCAACACTTCAAACTTATCAGTCCAACATTCAGTACTCCCTGATTAAAAGTCATGGTGGCATACCCTTTTATCCTGGCATCACTTTACAGAAGTGGCAGGAAAGTACCAGAAATAACCTGGTTGCTATTGATCGTTCAGGATTTCCTCTCCACTACTTTATAAACAAAAACACGATCCCTGATTTGCCAGAACCTACAGTTGGCAAAGTGTCTCTTAGTGTGAATAAGGCTATAGATAGGTACTACAAGATCAACACTCGTCCTGGGTGTGTTGATGTCAGTTCAAAGAACTTCAACTTTCAGGCTAATATTGATGACAATTCCTGTGAGGGACCAGCCACAAACCTGAGTTTTGGGGGAGTCTACCAAACATGTGACAAACTTAGCCAAGATGCTGATCCACTTTGTGATAAACTGGCCCAGAAAAACATAGACACTGGAGAGTTTACCTGTCGTGCACCTTACTTCCCAACTTTACTGAGGTCAGAAGTGAGACAGGAGAGTTACTCAAAACATGAATGCTACAGTGAAAGTTATGGATGTGGATTCTTGTGGTTGAAAACTTGTCACAGATCTCACTGCCAGGATGTGTACCACGTTCGTTCTGCTCGTGTCAACACCTACTGGTGCTCTGTGGATGGAAAAGCTCCTGATAACTCAGGCTATTTGTTTGGTGGTATCTACAGCCCCTCTCTCCTGAACCCCATCACCAAAGCCAAAAGCTGCCCAGCAGAATTTATTCCACTGAAGTTTTTCTCAGACGGACAAATGATCTGTGTGAGTAAAGACTACGAGATTGGCACCAAAGGCTCAGTGCCATTTGGAGGCCTCTTCAGCTGTGAGTCAGGCAACCCACTGGCTAAGAACCAACACAGGTGCCCCCCTAAGTTCAGTCAGCATCTCGCTACAGTCAGTGATGGCTGTGAAATTCTTTACTGTGTCCAGTCTGGATTGTTCACAGGGGGTGAGCTTCTTCCTGTCCATCTTCCTCCATTTATCAATTCACCTCTTGTCAGCATGCAAGCCACCAACACAGTGATGGTGATGACTGAAGGGGAAACCAGCTGGGTCAGAGTGGGTCAGACTAAAGCATGGAAGCTTGCCAAACCGGAAGAAATAAAACAGTTTGTTCTTAAGCTCAACCCAGAATTGAATCGAATGTCGAGTGGAGAAAAAGCAGGGGTAGCATTTGGAGTGATCGGTTTGATGGCACTGATCGTCATAATGGTGGTCCTGGTTAAGAAGAGGAGGAGAGTGTCTCGATTCAGGCCACYTGGCTATGAGGAAATCAGTGAGACAGCTGAGAGAGAAACACAGCAGGATGAAGCATAAAAGCAGGGTTTGCACGCATCACCTTCAAACCAAATCTGAGGGGCTTACCCTTCAAAAATAAAATCTCAGCGGGGTTACTGTTTTTCTTTATTGTTGATTACATAACTTTTGAATCTTAAGACCTTTTTATGTTTTTGCTTACATTTTTACAAATTGTAAGACTTGTGTTGTGAATGAATACATTCTTTTTTATATAAAAAACTTTATGTCATGTTTTTACAGGCGTAACATCATACGTTTTCTCGGGTGGGGTTATGTGCAGTTTTCCTTTGAAAACACCACAGTTTTTGCAATAGAGTTGATTTACCAAAATCCAGATGAACACTGCTGTCCTCATGTGGATCAAATGAACATTGCAACGTACTGTAAACTTTGCAAGCTTTGCACAATTCAGTATAAACTTACATTGCATAAAAAACTTTAGTGAACAGCTGATTAGCAGTTTACTTCTACACAGAACATATGCTTCTTTTTTTTTTTTACTTTTATGTATCATGCAATAGAGAAAAATAATCCAAACTATGTTTTTGTATTTCTAAAAATAAAAAGAAATACAAAATAAGTCTGACTGCCTCCTTTTTTTGTATTTTTTTGTGTCATGTCTCTGATCTTGTAAAAAATTAAAACATCCATGAAATTTAAACAAGACATTAAAATTATCTCTAAAATGATAAATTGTCATCTTCTAGTGAAATAACATAAATAATTTATTTTAATTCTTGTACAAATTGAGGAAGACTAAATTTGAAATTACCTAAATTGTTTACATGTAAGCTTATGCAATTTATCACTACACATTCATGTTGGTAAGCTATAATAAAATACATCAATTAGACAACTCCTTTTGGATTTTCACTCTCTTTTTAGCCCAAACTAGGTTTGATGAATGCATCAATTCACAGTTATTTTTAAAATGCTACACAAATCTCTTGGTTTAGGTTAGAAGCCATGCTTGGCCAAACAAGAAACTTTTAAAACCTTTTAGTGAAGACTGTATTTTGGGTGTGAACCTGTCTAGGAAGTATACCCTGCACCTAAAGGCAGGGTATACTTCCTAGACAGTGAGCCGGTGCCTATCTCCAGAGTCAGTGCAAGAGGTGGGGGACGGCCAGTACAGGCTCCAGAGCCACATAGAGACAAACAAGAAAACTGTGATAAACAAATATTCACTCACTCACACACACACAGGGGAACTTTATTGTCACCAGTTACCTTCACATGCATGTTTTCAGTATTAAAAATATATTTAACCACAACACAAATGCATGTTGTTTCTCTAAATGTGATAAATTTGTTGGGCCTGTGTGTCTGTAGATAAATGAACCTTTTGCACACAGAAAAAAAAGATTAACACTTATCTTCTTTGGCCACACTATGAAAACCACACATTTTGCACAAACATCCATAAATAGACAAKGAACGTCTGACCTCAGGATTTTTGTGAGGCTATCGGTTCAGAGCAAGGCCACCTCAGACATAAAGGCAAGCTCACATTCAGTCTGACAGGCATACACATGAAGTGCAAACACACYGACACACACTTCCCACAAAGAGCTCAGATCATCTCTTCTCTTGTGACTACACAAAAATCTCCCTCCCCCACACATGCACGTGCACACACACATCAAGGGATGTGTGGGATTTACAGAACTGGGTCTCGAGCATTAAAGCAAACCCACTCATGCAGAGGAAATTTAAAATGCCGTAGGGAAACAGAGACAGACAAGGGAAGGGTGAGAGAGTGCTGCACACACGGCTTCAAAACAGGAAACCTCCCTCTTTTGCCAAAAAGCAGTGGACTAACCAAAGAGAGCACACAGCAGGCTTTCAGGGCTAAAGCTCCCTTCGTTGGACATGCAGCTGTGCCATCAATGGGGAGACTAAAGAGAAAGATTTAAATCGAAGAYAAATAAGAAAGCAGCTACTTGACAGGCTGCAGAGACAAAACCTGAAGGACAAACAGAGAAAAAAAGAGGTATGTTCTCTACTGGTGCATCTCTTTTCTGCACATTTTGTAGTGTTGCCATGACCTAATTGCAGGATTACTGCTGTTTATAAAAAAATAGAGGATCATCTGAATCTGAAAGTCTAACATATTTAAAGCTCAACACTTTGTGAGTTTCTACATAACAAGAAAAAACATTTAAATGTTATCCTCATTGTGTTTTGTTGCTCTTAGGTAACCATGGAAGCAGCAGGATACAAGCAGAGAAATGTTGTCTTGTTTATAGTGGCCTTTTTATTTACCCTGGAGGTCCACAGGGTCCAGGGCTGRCGAATAGGCACTGGATCAGAGTGTGAGAAAGCTCCTTTTGTCCCAGGCCACAACCTGGCTGGGGAGGGGTTTGATGTGGTGCGACTGCGACGCACAGGAGCGTATGTGATCAATGTCAAAGCTCATCTGGGTGACAACCACACCTGTACGCTGTGCCCAAACAGATTCCAGGATGGACAGGTGAAAACTGTCAAACCGGCTGCTTGAGCTTGTTTTCACTGCTCTCACATCCTGTCTGTTTATTTGATTCAAACCATTTCCCCCCTGCCTTTATCCTCCCACTCTGCTTTTCTCCTTCCTGTKTTCTCCTCCTAAGACTCAGAGGCTCCCAGCCGCTGTGCTCGACTGGCGTCCCTTCAGCCGCTGCAGCAAACAGCTTTCRAGRGCGCTCCACCACTCAGTGGACTCCRTGCTGCGCAGCTCCAACTCGCTGGTCAACAACAACTGGGGTTTGGGTTTGAGCCTCGACAACATCGGCCAGGCTGTGCTGGGAGGAAGCCGCTCAGATTTGGCTAAGTTTGCTCGCTCGCAGCACAGTGTGGACAAAGCTACTTTTGCCATTCATGAAATCAGTTGCTCCTACTATAGGTAACATTGTGGTTGGATTATTATCAAAGAACAAGGCAGAAATACAGCACAATAACATAATTCTTTATGCATTATATGATTTTCAACATACCATTAATTCACAGGTTGACAAAATATTTTAAAGCGGTCCCCCTTAAAAATGTGCCAAATTATATTATAAAGTAAAGAGACATAGTTGCAAGTACAACAGCTCCATAACTTTTCCTTCATAAAATGATTATAAAGAAATAAAATGTGCCTTGATTGGGCTTTATATGAAGGTTACAAGCTTGCAAAATTTATAACATATTTATCTTTCCTTGCACTCCATTGCAGCCTTAGTTACAGACAAAAACAAGCCACTGTGTTCTCACTGAACTCTACATGGCTTTTGTGTTTGTAGCTACAGGCTGGCCGATCATCCCCAGCTGAGCGCAGAGTTCACAAAGCATATGAAGAGACTCCCGCAGAGCTTGAACACAGTCCAGAACAGAGCCTTGTATAGACGGCTCATAGACACCTACGGGACACATTATATWCACCAGGTCAGAGAAAACAGCTGGAAACACAAGACCTTCTTTTTCAAGTCTTTTGTACCGTACTAGAGATGCTGCCAAATCTTACTGGCCTTGCGGTTTTGTGCAAAACACAGATYAAGCTGTTGTTCAGAAGTTTAACTCTTTATTGTGTTGATTCCTAGGTCCAGCTTGGCGGTAAAGTGAAGCGAATCACTGCCTTCAGGACCTGCCTGGCCACACTGAAAGGCTTCTCAGAGTCCGAGATTAAAAACTGTCTAAATCTTGAACTGCGTATGGCTCTGGGTTTTCTCCCTGCTAACGCATCTTTCTCCAACAAGTGTGACAATCTCCTGAAGGGCAATATAAGCATGGGCTTCTACCAGGGCTTCATGACACATAAGATTGAGGTCATTGGAGGGGAGCGGTATTTCCCTGACATCCTTTACCAACAAGACCCATCGGAAGCCTACCACAACTGGATAAACAGCCTCTATGACAACCCTGACGTMGTTTCTTATGCCATCTTCCCTCTGCACCATCTGGTGGAGGACACACAGATCAGTACCAACCTGAGGAACATGGTCTCAGAGTATATCAGAGAGAATCAATTGGAAGAGGAGCAGCTTGGTCTGAAGAACTGCTCCCCAACTTCCAACCTGGATCACAACTGCTGTCCTTTAAGGACTGGCAGAGGAACRCTGAGACTGGAAATCCACAGAGCTGCAGGACTGAGGGCCGACACCTTCACAAAAACAGACGCATACGTGAAGATCTTCTACAGCGGCATGTATGAGGAGACTGAAACTGTGATGGACAACAATGACCCAGTGTGGAATGCCACGTATAATTTTGGCTCAGTGGAGCTGGGCCAGGAGTTGAGGTTTGAAGTCTGGGATAGGGATGTGCTTTATAACGACATGGCGGGGATATGTGTCATCTACCCTGAGAGAGGAACACATCCTTTAAGCTGTCAGCTGCGTAAAGGAGTTCTCTATTTCACCTACGTCATTACATGTGATGCTCATTTGACAGGGTTCAGATGTGGACGATACTCTCCTAATGCTGAGTAAAAAAAAAAKAACCTCCATTAGGTAACATAAAACTTTTAGGTGTTTTGCATTTTTCATGAAGCACTTGTAAATTGTACATTTTACATTTACCATTTTACACTCAACTCATAAAACACACTAAATTTTTTTAAAGATTTCAGCTGTTTTCTCTGTTCGTGTTTGTAATGTACACAAAAAAATTAAGTGTTGGAGTACTTGATTTTAAAGAAAATATAATCTTTAGATTTGTCACACTAACATTTTTTTCACAATGTCCRAATGCTTTTTTAACTAAGCTGTTTCATTTATTAGTGACATAACATCCATGTAAATGATYTTTTATATCTTGCTTGTTGACATTTGGGTCACATATGCATCACATTTGCCTGGTCTAGAACCTAATTAGAACTARTACTAATAGTATTCATTTCTAATCAGGTCATGTGCATAATTACTGATAAATCAATAAACGATCAAACTTTTCCAAAAAATAGGGTTATTATGACTATTTTTTATGATCTGAACTGAAGTATATTCAGGATAAATCATTGCTACTTCTTCACTACATTCCTGTGTTTGGTGATTCAACAAAATGTTATTTTTGTCATGGCATAAAAAAGTGTGAACTTTGTCATTTCTAAAAGAGCAGCCACATTGAAGACTGAACATTTCGACTGTTCTTGTTTATTTTCTTGTTTAAATCATAGTTTCCCATCAGTCACTTATTGAACTGATTCAGAAAATGTGGAGTCTCCACCGGACTTTGTATCAAGCGTTGTAAATAAATAGGAGGTGTCTCAGAAATTTGTGGGGAATTCCAGGTACTAAAGAGTCATAAAATGCTTCACACAGAAGCATATATAAAACTTTATCATATCCAAAAGACCTTAAATACCTAGTTCAATTTTATAGGAAGAAGTCTGTAAACAGATATCTCACATCAAACTTTTTCTTATTCATATAAAAGATAAGAAAAAATATCCAGTCATTTGAAGAGAAATTCAGAGCTCTTTATAATCATTATATTTAGACACTGTGGTTTGTTGCAGTATAATTAAATGTTTTTAATAACTAATCACGAGMTGAAGTTTGTTTGTAACCAAACTAATTTAGGCAGGTTCTTGTGACTTCAGCTTACAATGAATGTTGTTTGTATTTTATTATTTTACACTGTATGCAATAAATATATTTAAATCTCTTTACATGCACAATAACTGCACTGACTAAACAATGGTTGTTTAGCTATTGTTGGGGCATATAGTGGGAATTTACCTGAAGTGGATATATTGCARAATTGTGAAATCTGAAAGGAGTTTTAGAAATATGGGGTCAGATTTATAAAGCTTGCATACGCACAAAACGAGCCCAGAAACTTGCGTACGCCACTTTTTACGCACAGGTTGTGATTTATAAAATCCAAACTTGACGTGAAAATGTGTGGTCCCTCAAGCAAGCTTTGACCCATGCGTACACTCATTTTGGAGATGGGAAACTGTGACACGGTGAAGTGAGGAATTCTAGCCACACTGTGTAATGATCACTGTCAGATATTTAATTTCACTTCATAATCAGACTAGATTTTTATTCAACTTATTCATCAGCTTTCTTAACAGCAATATTTATGCTTCTGCTGTGAGCCATAAGGATCTTTGAAAAAAACAAAAAACTTAAATTTTAATTAAAGTTCACGCGTCCATCCATCTCCTTCCTCCTCACGACCCTGACCCACAGACCCCACCCTGACCTACAGACCRCTTCCCGACAAGAGACATTTCAACAGCACAACAGCTTTGGGTACACGCGCAGAGCACATCCACCTCGCCTGTGTGGATGTTATAAAAGTTCTTTTTTTTTTAAAGTCCGTATTTCTCACACACAACTGTGGGGATGTGAGGAGACGATCAGCGGCAGATAACAGAGCAGGCAGGAGGGTATGGAAGCGATTGTGTTCCATAATCCTAATTAAAATGGATTAATAGAAATGCTGTTTCATTTTCAACATGTACCTGATTTTTTTGACTCATAAGTAAAATTATAAATACATAATCCAAACTGTATTGTAGGGGCACCTCGAGTGAAGAAACAGGAGTTCCAGCCTCAAAGCAGGCCTCGCACAGGCCTGAGA